CACACATCTTACAGTTGCCGAGGTTGAGAAGCGCTGCTTTAAACGACCTTTCCCGAGGATCATTTCCAGACATCTGAAGGACTTTCTTCTGCGAGGGCAAAATGTGTGCGGGGTGTGGCGGTGGGGTTGGGGGGAAAGAAAGCGGGCACAAGACCACCAACTCAGCCACTTGTAGTTCTACAACAACAAAGATGAGACCAGTGCTAGATGGTTTTGTGTGGTGGGACCCTCCAAACCTTATCAGGACCTAGGGAAAAATAAAATAAATGCTGTCTAAGCGATATAAGCAGATTACTTACCTTGCTGAGCTCTGGAACTGGAAAATGAGTGTTTTCTTTCTTGTCGTTTTTGCCTGTGTGTTTTTATTTGTTTGCTTTTTGCAGGCTGGAAAGTTGATACCAATTGGAGAAACTGCTGCCACTTGTCTTATTGATATCCTACCCAGAGTGAGTACCTTGATACTTCAGTCTAGTGTCTCACCATCTAACCATCAAGTGTATGTGGTGTGTGTGTGTGTGTGTTAATACAGACACACATGTCCCACTATTGCAGATGTTCAAAACCCAAAGTTTCCAATAAAGAGAATATACTGTATGTAGCTCAGTGTTGAACTCTGGAGTCCTTGGTGCTCTCTGAACTTGGTTGTTTGCTTGGAGACATTTCATTACCAACTAGGTAACATCATCAGTGCGAGTGAGTGTGGGGTTTGTTTCATGTTTATATATAGTAGCTTGCCTTGCCAGTTTTGGTGGGGGTATGGTTTTCTCCTTGGTAGTTCCTTGATTAGGGTATTGTTTTCTGCTTGATTGTTTGTCTGGTGTTAATCCCTGCTTATTTGGGTGTAGGCTGCTGGAGGGATGTGTTCTGGTCTTTTTGTTTCCTCTTTAGCTTTTTTATTGTCTCTTTTGAATGGTTTGTAAATATGGTTTATTTCTATGTGTCTATTGATGGCTGACCCAAAGGTTCCAGATATCCCAAACAACCCAGACAACCCAAAGTTCCAGGTAGCCAGGGGGTTCCTACAAGCCTCTAAAGAGCTGTGTGGCCCTTGAACCCTCAAATGTTGGTACCAAATTGTAATTTTATTTGACAGTGGGGAAAAATTATTAAACACATCATGGTTAATCACATTAACTATATTTAGTTTAATCACTTTAACTATATAAGTTATGAGTTTATAAGTTTACCTTTAAGTTTAGCTTAAACTGAAAGGTAAATTAAATGAAGCCAAATTAGTTTTGACCTGGACCCTCCCAGTACTTTGAGGAGTGTGACCCCTAGCATGCCAAGGAAGCTGAAAGGTGCTTTTAAAGACATATTCAAATGTAAAAAAGTAGTTCATATGAAAAAAGCAGTTCTGATGGAACGTTTAGAACAGATTAGTAGCTCCAGAATGGTCATTCCACACATTGAAGCTATCTTTTCAGTGACTGTTACCAATGGTTCAGTTAAATCACCCCCTAGGAGAAAAAAATCCAGAACAGTTTCATTTTCATTTTAAAAAATAGTGTGCCATGTTGTTTGATACTATAATGAATGGTTATGAAGATATAGCTTCTGAACAATCAAGATGTGTAAGACATCTTATTGTATCTTAAAATATATTCCTGTTTTCACATTGCTAGCAATCCAGATCCTATGTAGGCCAGCAATCAGTGAGAATGTTAATAACATTACAGACATTACTTCTGCTTGAAATGTTTTAGCTGTAATTAGGCTAGCTTATAATTATGAATGTAGTTTGCATACTAGGAGGATACCTGAATGGGGATGACTACTGCAGGACATTAGTATCATGTCAGTCTATTTCTCTTTACCCTCCCTTCTAATAACCTTCATCCTGATGAACTGCACTGTAAAACTTGACAACTTAGTGATATTTTAGCTAGTTGTAATAAAGAAGTTACTATTCTGTGGCTTTGGGAATATATTAATGAACTAATGCAGTTATGGCTGGTGTGGGTCTTCCGGGCTGTGTGGCCGTGTTCTGGAAGTTTTGTTTCCTAACGTTTCGCCAGCATCTGTGACTGGCATCTTCAGCTGGGCACAGAGAGAACTGCTCCTGTCTGTGCTCCTG